CCTTATGGCGGGAGGGGGGAGGTTGCAGGGAAGAGGATAGGAGGAAAAAATCTCATTGAAGATACATACAACATTAGATCTAGCCCATTTGAATTATTGCTTGGGGGGGAATTAAAAATTTGAACATTCATGAATTACACTGTAACATTTCAAAATAGAGAGCACTGAATTGCCATGCCTTTCGAAAAGATAAAATGATGGTGATCCAACCACACTTAAAGTACTTCCATGTCTCATTGGCTTGTTTACATTTTTTCCTACTAACATCTAAAGAATTTAACCAGAGGAGCAGTCATATATCATATGCTCTCTAAACACGGCTGACCATTGGATTGCAATAAATGCTTTTCTAAGCCAAAGCCCCTTCTGAGCATTTCACAAACCGATAGTCAAAATCGGTAGATCTTTTTGCCCTTAACAGAAAAAGACATGCTCTTGATTACATAGGGCCATAACATGTAGCCTCATAACAGGAAGTCGCATAACCACATCTTAATAAGAAAATCCAATTAAAGGATGAAAAAACCCAAACAGAAGAAGAAACCACTAAGGGGGGAACATCGTTTACTCACCTTTCAGCCAAATAAACTGAGATATGATTCAAATAGAGTTGTGTGTGCGCTTACCTGTCCTTTGTGCAGCCCGGTTCTCAATGCACCACAGCTGGGTGGCTAGGGACCCCTGAATTACATTAATGCATGCAATTGTTGCTGCTTTTTTTTCATTTCTACAAAACATTTATTTTAAGCACTGTGCATACACAAAGTCCTCGACTTATGTCCACAACTGAGCCCAACATTTATCTTGTTAAGCAAGAAATTTGTTAAGTGGGTTTTGCCCCGTGTTACGATTTGTTTTTCCTGCCGCTTTTGTTAAGCGAATCAACACAGGCATTAAATTATTAACCCGGTTGTTAAGTGAATCTGGTTTCCCCGTTGACTTTGCGTGGCAGAAGGTTGCAAATGGGGATCACGTGACCTCGGGGCACTGCAGCCATCATAAATATGAGTGAGTTGCCAAGCATCCGTATTTTGTTCACATGCGATCGTAAGTGTGAAAAATGGTCATAAGCCAACTTTTTTCTAGTGCCTTTGTAACTTCGAACGGTCACTAAATGAGCTGTTGTAAGTCGAGGACTATCTGTACTGATTGTGACAACAGTATTAACTGTGCTGTTTTCTCTCTTTTCTTTTTCTAAAAAAAAAAAAATCTCACAGAATGGCTTCGCCGTTGTACGACCTCCAGGACACCACGCTGACCCTTCCACAGCAATGTAAGGAGAATCACCTCTGTGTCTTCTCTCTTCTGAGCCACGGCTTATCTTCCTGACAGACCCAAGCCCCTTAGAGTCCTCCATGCCTGTGCAATGTCAACATTCCACATTCTCTCTGTGACATCACAGGCACAGTTGGGACCCAGAGGCATTGGGTTCTGTTCTTGACAACGGTCAAGCAGGCTGAGAAAGTTGGGGAAATGCAGTCATAAACAGTAATGGATGCATCCGATGGAGCACTGGGTTTATGCTGGGTATACCTTAGATCTGATTAAGCAAAGTGATAAGAAGGAGCAGGGTTTCGTCCATCAGAGTCGGGCAGAAATAGAGAGCAAACAAAAAAGAAGACGTAGGAAAGCATCAGGCTAGAAAGCGGGAGACCGTGAGTTCTAGTCCTGCTTTAAGGAACTTACTCAGCTGGGTACGTTTAGGCTAGTGATTCTCTTTAAGCTGCAGGCAAGGGCAAGCCACTTGCAAACAGTCTTGCGAAGAAAACTGCAGGGACTTGCCCAGGCAGTTGCTAAGAGTCGACAGTGGCTCAAAGGCACACACACGCGTGTGTACGTGCACAGCCGTGACCCGACAAATGCGCGAACGACAAAAGCGTGCCGACAAAACCGCGGTGCTAAAACCGCGATGTCAAAAGCGTGCCGATAACAGCGCGATTTAAGTTAAGGTAAGGGTTAGGGTTAGGGTTACAGCGTGCTTCTGTTGGCGCGCTTCAGCGCTCATTCATCGGTGCGCTTTTGTCGGCGCGGTTTTGTCACCACGGTTTAGTCAGGCGTGCTTTTGTCGTTCGTGCATTTGTGGGTGAACCCTGTACACCCACCCACCCCAAATGGGAGGGCAGGTCTCCAGTTGCACAGCTATGACAGCTATCTTGATGCTTTTTATCCCCTCTCATAAGATGCCACTGGTAATACTTTTTTAAGCTTCTGATTTGATCTCAGAGCAGCTGCTTTTACCTACAAAAGAAGGGCAATTGCTTCCAGAATAAGAAGCATATCCAGATTTTTTCCCTCTCTCTTTTTTTTTTTTAAACATGACTAGATTTAAAAGCTTCTATCCAGGCTAGAATGATCAAGGGTAATTTCTTATTTCTATTCCTCTGAGCAGAAAAAAAGAACAAGTAATAAAGGTAGCCAGCCTCTGCATGCCTTTTTTTAATTTTCTGGATCACGGTAGAAGTCAAGATGAAGAGAAGCAGCCTGCCATCCTCCAGATGTTTTGTCCTAAACTTCACATAATCCCCCTGCCATTGTCCAAATAGTTGGAAGTGAGGCTTGTATCAAAACATTGAGATTTCGGGCCAGCTTGCAGCCTGGGCCACTTCCAGGTTATTCCATCCCATCTTTCCTTATTTCCTTTATTTAAATCCCACCCCCACCCCCCATTATTTAGCTAATCATTATTGTGTTTGTTCGATTTGAGGAGTTTGGTACAGATTCCTGCTTCCTCCCAGAAAATACTATGGAGCCTGCTGATACTTCTTTATTCATAGTTGGGGCAACGTTTGACTTCCCACTAATTTACATTGTAAAAATGAGTCTACTACAGTATTAGCATTCAGCATGACGAGTTGCTTATTTTATTTTATCCTTTTCTTTTCTTTGCAGCCATCTCACTATTGATCAACTCTAGGCAGCTACTTGTCCTTATATAAGAAGCAATCAGTGGCTAAGACGCTGAGCTTGTTGATCAGAAAGGTCGGCAGTTCAGCAGTTCGAACCCCTAGTGCCACGTAATGGAGTGAGCTTCCATTACTTGTCCCAGCTTCTGCTAACCTAGCAGTTCGAAAGGACGTTAAAAATGCAGGTCTTCTCCAGCCAAAACGTGTGTCCTTGTAATGCTAGGCCCTAATGCAGCACATGAATGGAAGAATACAGCAAATGGCCCCGGTTCCACCACAAAACCGCGCCCGACTAAACCGCGCCCAACTAAACCGCGTCGCTGACGTCATCAACAGGGCGACAACAGCGCG